ACAATCACTACTACTACAAAAAAAAATAATGTGTGGATGATCTGTATTCAAGAAATATAAATGATTTGCTCCTCTTTGTGTTGCAGACTTGTCTTTGAAGTACAAACATGGCCGATTGGTTCTGGAGGTGCCATTGCCCTCCAGAGATGAGGTGTGTCTGTTCTTCCTCAGACCCATGCTGATGAGCGTGGGAGACCTGATCTCAGATCTGCAGAAAGAGGACCCCGGGGCCAAGGCATCCATTTTGTCCAAGGGTAGGACAACATGACAAGTGTTAGCTACGCACCACACAGATGGCATTGTTGAGCTTGCAGTCAGTCAAGTCTGACCATTTGAGACGTAACCTGGTTCGACAGGTTCTTTGTTAGAATTGAAAGTTGAAGAGCAGCTTTGAGTGGTTTGGCACGATGCCTGCAAACAATATTTTAACAACCATTAACATTATTTAACAACAATTATAGATAATCTTATTATCTATACAATGACTAAGCTGGTATAGTACTTTCTTAATGTGCATGGGTCATGAGCATGAGGTGCTTTCACTTTTATGCAGTTTTTCACAAGAAAAAACAACATTTTAGAAAGAAAACTTTTTTGTCCTGTTTTCTAAAACCCTCTTTATATCCTGTCATTATTGCAGGCTGATAATCTGTTTTTAAAAAAAAAATAATAATGTTCCGTGCTCCCCCTCAATGCTTCCAAATGCATTTGGACTTTGATTAAACTGTCAAACAGGCAGCACTGACCGAGTATGAATCCAGTTTCTGTTCCTGCATTGCCTATTTTTCGCCTCGTTTTCAGAAACATATACCTGTTAGCCGTAAGATGAGAATGAACCGGCTGTCGAGTTGAAAACAGTCGAGCTAAAAGCAAGCATCACCCGCCAACTTATAATTGTACAGCTAAACAGTCCAGCGCTCCTGCTGCAGAGCATTTGAAGTAGAGGATGCTTCTCATAATCTGCTAACTGGAAAAACCTGCTTTTTTTCCCAGTAGCTATCCCTCTGTTTAACAACACTAGCTGGCACCTTGCTCAGAAGCTGCTGATAAGTAAACGGGTTTCATTCAAGGAATTAGGACACGTTGTATTTGAGTTGGACAGATTGGAATCATCCCCATGTGTCTCATTCCTTTACAAGACCTCCAGTTTTGCAATGATGTCTTGTCTTTGCACTCACTCTTTTTATGAAGTTTATTTATGATGTGTGGTTATTCAGCTTTACTGTGCTTATTTTGGTCATCTACCAGGAAGCCTTTTTTGCATTGCTATAAAAATATGAAGTTATATGATTGAGATAAAGTACTGAGTTGGACATCTGTCCTCTTCTGACAGATGGAGAGCGTGTAACCAACACCACGCTGATAGACGCCCTGCTGGATAAGGACTTCCAGCTCGTCATCAATGATGCCGTTTATAATGTCATCTCTCCTGAAAAGGGTACCACACATTTCTGTCCTATCAGATGTTTTCTGCTTAGCAATTATAAATTTGGCCGCAGTTATCTCTCCAATCACGACTCATCTTAACATCCCACCCTCATCCACCCTGTGTGTTGCAGTGGCTACCAGTGAGCAAGCCATGGAGATGGATGACATGAAGCATGTCGTGCATCTGCTGCACACGGCACTCCACATGCCTGAACACCACATGCTGAAGGAGAGGCAGCTGCTGGAGAGACAGGACGTCCTCAAACAGGAGCTGTCCCCCCTGGAGGAGGTAGTGGATACGTCTCAACATCTGCATCTATGACACCGCTCTGTCTCCTTGTTACATCCTTGTTTTTGCAAAGGCACAGATGCCATTTCTGTCCTGTTAGTTCTGTTGGCTGATAACCTCCTCCTCCTTGTGTCTCTGCCTGGCGCTGACAGGTGAAAGCTCAGCTGTCCCGGTCCGCAAACTTCCACAGCGCCAGGGTGGTCTGGACCGGCCTGGCCCTGCTGTCTGTGCAGGGCGGGGCTCTGGCCTGGCTCACGTGGTGGGTTTACTCATGGGACGTCATGGAGCCCGTCACGTATTTCATCACCTACGCCACCAGCATCGGAGCCTTCTCCTATTATGTCCTTACCAAACAGGCAAGTCTCAGGGAATAAAGACACACACCTCTTTCTCTTCCTGTTTCCAACTCTGTTTTGATACAAAGGAAAGGTTCAAAATGTCAATGTTATTTCCGTAAATACAAAATGTACTACAGCCAGCAGCATTTAGATTAGCCTAGCATAAAGACTGGTAAACACTAGCCTGGCTTTGTCTGAAGATAACATGTGCTTACCGGTAATAGACATTGTTGGTGTTTTATGCGAGTTGAATTGCCCACCGCCATTTCCTGTCTCTGCTGCTTGTCTGTCAAACTCACTTTGACTGCAAGGAAGTCACTGCGGCATGCCTTGAAGTATCTTGGCACGTAACAGTAGACCATAAAACCACTAGATTTGATTAGGTGTATTATGATATCTAAGAACAGGCTGTTTCCCCTTTTACAGGCTTTAAGTGAATTGCTTGGTAGCTGTTGGCTATGATTTAATATTTCACTGACAGATATGTTAATCCTTTTACCAAACTTTTTTATCGGAGACACTCCATCCTGATGCTCTGCTGTACTAAATCATGCGTATGTGTGCCGATGTGTTTTCCTCTCCATATTGATTTTAATCCAATTTTACTTTTTTCCCTCAGGATTATTTATACCCAGACGTTAAAGACAGACAGTTCCTGCATTCCTTTTATAAGGGGGCCGGCAGGAAGAAATTCAACGTGGGAAAATACAATGAACTGAAGGATGAGCTGGCTGAGGTTGGTTGATTGGTTCACTTGTTATAATCCAACACATACAGACACTTAGGAGTCTCTGGGTGTTTCTCAATGTCGAGGAAAGCTGCTCCAGAGCCACTATTTCAAGGATACATCGAGTCCCGCCGAAGGACTGTTCCAATATCCAGCGTACTTGGAATTCTACCGAGGCCGGTGTACTTCGTTGCGGGAAATTTGGAGGCTGCTCATGTGTATCCTCCGCGGTCTTAAAATCCCCACAATGCTTTGCGCACGGACCAATTTCCAAAATCTTTGGCGGAAAATGTAAGGCGGGGCCTCTCATATGACGCACACTTGCACACTTGC